ATGATATCTTACACCTCAAAATGGAGCTAAAAATTGACATCGATTAGGAAATCCACAATCCACCAAAAAATATTTACCTAATTACATATGCAATATATATAATATTAGTATAATAATAATAATAAATTATAATTATAATTATAATAATTATTATTATTATTTAAAGAATAAACATTTACCTTGAGCCACTTTAAGTCCATTCCTCCTTGTTATAGCATCATTTAGTAGCTTAGAATCATGAGCCGAACCCTCCCACGCCCACTAAGAATGTACATGAACTCCAAATCAAAATTACAAGCGGTTAATACATTTTGTGATATCTTGCCATGACGATTACGATAACTACTTACATCTCGCCCCCTCACTATTGCTAGAATATGTGTGCTGTCAATAGCTCCAATGCAATCCTAAAATTTAACATTATAACACTTCATCGTATGAAAATTATAAATATAGTAGTGTCAAATTTAATTATAATTTTTATTGTAAGATAATTATTAGTACATACCTTGAAGAAAGGGAAGAACCTTGTGCTTTCTCTAATTTTAGTTGGCACATATAATAAATTATATATATAAATAAATATTATATTTAAATAAATATTATATACACATAAATCCACATATATTCAAGCTCCAGCTAACATCACACCTTAACAATTTCATTTCATTGAGCTTTTAAAATCAAAATCAACCTCTCCTTAAACCTTTGACCAAAGTCATTTTCACTACTACAAGATACACATTTTACATCGGTTTCACCAAGTCAAAAATCAAAACTAACATCTCTTATAATCATCCAAACGAAGAATACAACAGAATCAAATTGAAACAAACCTTTGAGCTTCCTACAAATGGCTTGGCACAATTCCCTGGTTCCGGCATTGGGCGTATACCTAGTGTAACCTTCGCGAATTGCATTAATCCCAGCCTACAGATAGGCAATTTGACGATCAAAGAAAAAAACAGAGAGTTAAGAAGGAAAAGGGGGGAATGCAGAGGGAAAACCTCGGCTATGGGAGCGGGGGTGTCAAAATCGAGCTTGCCGGTGGTGAGGCGAATGACGGGAACACCAGCCTGGACGAGAGCGGTGGCGAGGTCGCTGATGGTGACGGTTTTGGAAGGCTTGACGGCAGAAACCAAATCATTTGGTGAAGTCTTCTTACAGAGCCATGAGCCTCCTATCCGCAGCTTCCTCAACTGAAGCAGGCTCGCTGCGCGCGATGAATCTCCAAAGTCTTCTTATAGAGCTCCTCCGCTTTATCAAACTGCATCGCTTGCACATTCGCCTCCGCCAAGCACCTATAACACACAGCACCGATTTAGACCCTAAATTATAGAATTACAACAAGAACAATACCTAGATGCAGCGTCAGGGACTTGGATGGCGCGTTCGAGGACGGGAACGACTTCTTCGAAGCGGGAGAGACCAAATCATTTGGTCCATTTGTTCCCCTCCCTCCGAGAAAAGTAGGAAGTCAACGCGGTGGTCTCTATTGGAGGCGAAGATGAATATCAGAAGAGTTTGGGTGTGGTTGGAGGCTGACAGAGTGG